TGGTGAAGGGTCTGGAGCACAAGTCTTACGAGGAGCGGCTGAGGGAGCTGGGGTTGTTTAGTCTGGAGAAGAGGAGGCTGAGGGGAGACCTTATTGCTCTCTACAACTACCTGAAAGGAGGTTGTAGCGAGGTGGGGGTCGGTCTCTTCTCCCTAGTAACGAGTGATAGGACGAGAGGAAACGGCCTCAAGCTGCGACAGGGGAGGTTTAGGTTAGACATTAGGAAAAACTTCTTCACTGAAAGGGTGGTCAAGCATTGGAACAGGCTGCCCAGGGAAGTGGTTGAGTCTCCATCCCTGGAGGTATTTAAAGAACAGACAGATGTGGTGCTCAAGGACATGGTATAGATGGACTTGGCAGTGATAGGTTAATGGTTGGACTTGATGATCTTAAGGGTCTTTTCCAACCTTGACGATTCTATGATTCTATGAAGTCAGGTAGCACGCGTGGTCTTGCTAGAAATGAAGCGTAACCCCACGGCATCTTGTTTGTTTTTTTTTTTAATAGGAAGCTAAAGCACGTAATTTTTGATAATAACATTGTTATTGCGTTTAATGAGCTACTTTCCTGCATAGCTTAGTATGACGTCTATCTTGTTTTATCTACGCCCCAGAAAAATTACGTTTAATTCCCTACCTGGTCATGTCACTGATGCAATAAATGTAACTGTAGTAAAAGAGCAGATTTTGTCATTGCCAGTAACTGTTGCTTTCTCTGTTCAGTGCTTTGCATGTTGCAAATCTAAGGCATAGGAGAAACTTTCCTGCTGCTCCTCCCGCAGGTGTCATGCCTTCTGGTGGTTTGCCCCTTCCCTTTCCCAGGTGAATGTGGGAAGGGTGGTGGGCGGGGCCCGGGGTATATGAGCCGCAGCCTCAGCTCAGGGAGCTCATTCTGCTTCTGGGCTTCTCTGGGATCAGTGTTCTGTTGTTTCTTCAGTTGACTGCAGGTTTTGGCTTGCCTCAGCTATTTGGGCAAGTGTTTTTTGATATTGAGAGAAGCGGAAGTGTTTGTTTGAGGTGAGAGCTTTGGGGCTAGTCAAGGGTCAGCAGCCTATGTTATAGAAAGCGTACTTGTATGCAG